CTCTCTCTCTCTCTCTCTCTCTCTCTCTCTCTCTCTCTCTCTCTCTCTCTCACGACTTCAACTGTTTTCCCAATTTTTTTTGTTTTTCGTTTGTGTATTTCTTTTTTTTTTCTTCTTTCTTTTTTGATCGTGTGTCGTCCCCACAGAAGCGGGTCCCGGCCTTGGCGCTACGACCGGGCCTTCCCTTGGCCGACCAGCCTGAGGCTGCGGCGCGTATACGGGGAAGGCCCGCGGCCGAACACTGAGTGAGGTACTGGTGGTTTAAGGTCTTCCTCCAGTTCAACAATCATCGCAGTCTGCTGTGTGCCAATAACGGCCGATGTGTTTTTTTTTTTTCTTCTTTTTTCTTTTTGTGCCGTGGGCCGCTGGGTGTTTTGGTCTGGTAGGTCGAGCCCCAAAGGTCTTTAGACTCTTTACAGCTGAGGGAAAATGAACGGCTGGGAAAAGTATTGGTGTAGTGCTGGTCGTAGCTGTGGAGGCCGACTGGAGAGTACATTTATTTTATGGGCACTTCCAGAGGTGAGGTGCTTGGCAATGCGAACCCAGTATTTCTTTTTACTTGAGGCAATGCCTGCAACAATGTGTGTGATTGACCTGCCTCTTGGAAATGCTAATCTGTGTTGGGTCCCAAATTCCAACTTCGTCCTTTTTTTTGCAATCGGGGCACAGTGTGTCTGACTGGCTGCTCATCCCACCAAACCCATGTTTTCCCGACATCAAACCTTGAAAACTTGTGAGAAAATAATGTACTAGACTACTAGTGTGAGTATGCGCTAAGGAACCTGACGATTGGAGAAAATAAACCACCCTTCTTTTTCCCATATTCTCCTCCGCCTTTATATCCTTCTTTTCCCCCAAATGCCCCCCTTCTGTCCCTCCCGCCCCCCTCCTATGTTGCCCCTGTCTCTGGCAAAACGCTTTGCATACTTATCTGCTGGGTGATTATTGTGTGGGTGGCGGGGTTCTGCAGGGCAATTTAACTGCTGGAGTTCCTTCACCCCTGACTCAATCTGTGGCTCAACAACAGTTCAGGAACTGGTGCTCTATTCAGCAACCTGGTGGTCAGTTGACTTTGACTTTCATCCAGGTGTGTGTACTATTCTCTATGGCTCTGCCTGCTGCAAGGCATTTGACTTCGGCATTTCCATCTGGGGGTGTAGCTCCAGTATCCGCTAGAGGAGAACATATCAATGTCAGCGTCTCTGAGATGTAATTCTGTTTTTTGAGTGAGACTATCAATTTGAGGCTTCTTCCATGTGTTTTGCTGTGCATGTATTGTTGCATGGGAGGGCATGTTTTCACCAGTACATTTCCCAGCTATGTTTTCAAAGTTGCGGCTTACATACTGCTGCAGCTTTCGGGGTCGGCCACCGGATCAAAATGGCTYGCGGCCCCAGCCAAAAGGAGGCCCATGTCGGTTCGTCTGTTTTGGTTAAACCACCACTGTACCTTTTCCAGCCATGCTTTCGAAGTTCCGGCTTGCATACTGCTGCAGCTTTCGGGGTCGGGCACCGGATCAAAATGGCTCGCGGGCCCAGCCAAAAGGAGGCCCCCACCGGTTCGTTTTTTTGGGGACGCAGCACGTTTCCAGTGCACGAAGAAGTGTTTGTGGCTGCATCCTACCTAGAGGGTAGTGCAACAAGATGGTTGAGTGGTTTAGTACAACTCCAAGGGTATGGTCATGACTTCTGCGCTTGGGCGGCCTCCCAGAAATTGGAGGACTTCCTGAAGATGGCGGAGGAAAGGTGGCATGATCCTCAGGAGGCCCAAAGGGCCACTAATGCGATCCTGACACTGCACACGAGGCAGTTTAAGTCAGTAAAGGAAGCCACCGACGCTGTTGAGCGTCTGATCTGTGTCCCAGGGGTGCGCTATGACCCCCAGGTCCTGCTGACCTCGTACTTGAGATGCTTTTCTCAGCCTCTCAGGAACCAGTTGGCAAAAGAGGCCAACATCAATATGCACAACTTTCCTTCGTTCAGTAAGGTGGCCCTAGACCTTGAAGTTAAGATAGGGCATGGACAGGCACCCACTATGGATGGGAGAAAGAAGACACTGCCTCCCAACTGGAAGCCGAAGGGTCGCTTGATGTTCGTCGATAATGATGGTTCTACTATCGAAGTAGACGAACACTTCCAGGAGGGAGTACGTTCAGAGGCGGGCAGCGTAGAAACTTCAGAGGGTGGAGTGGTCGCTGCCGTAGCTCAGAAAGGTAAGGCGACCGGTAGACGCCGCGGAGGCTCCCGGTCTAGGAGTCAAGTTGACCCCAACGCTCCTCCATGGGAGAAAGCGGGTCTTACTGAGGACGTGTGGAGAGACCGTTACTCTCGGCAGACCTGTATTCGTTGTGGTCAATATGGCCACACCCAATTCAAGTGCCGCAACAAGAAGGTGACAGAAAAGATCCCGCCTACGCTATGGGGCAAGTGCTGGGATCCTCTCATCCCCTTGGTAGCAACGTTGCCAGTACTTCAGGCGGTGCTCCGGGAAACACATCGGGCCCGTAGGAATAGTAGTTGTTCCTGCTAGGGTCGAGATGGTGGAGACACCCTCACCATCTTGAGAGATGGCCCACGCTATTGACTCCCATGTCGTCCCGCAAACACATTCAGACCCATCGAGCCTCTGTTCGATGAATGTGTTTGAGTCCTTAGAGGAGCTAAAGGTAGAGTGGTATAGATCAGACCCACAACTTCTTGGACGACACTAGTCAAAGCCTCGAAGGGTGAGATGTTCGTCAACGAGGTTGTCATTGGCGGCCGCAAGGCCGGGGCCTATTATGACACTTGCTTGACACGGAACTTTATTAGTCGCTCGTGCGTTGAGAGACTACGCTTACAGGGGCAAGTGCAGCGCCTGAGTCGACCTATGGAGTCGACTTGTGCCAACAAACAGCGCATGGTAGTCAACGACTACCTCCAGGATGTTGAGTGTTGTTTCCCGTACGCGGGAGGGGACTTGAGACATCGTGTCTCGTTCCTAGTAAGTGACGAGCTCCCAATGGATATGTTACTAGGCATGTACTACCTCTCTGTAGCACAACCCCAGTTTGACCGGGACCGAAAAGTGGTCAAACACACTTTGCCAGGTGGAGGGACCGCCAGATTACATAAGTTCAAAGCTAGTAGTATGATTGAGTCCTATGGGTGCATGTGTGCGGCCGCGTTCTACAATTATTATAAGCAAAATCAGGAGGAGGGTATGTATGTAGTTTATGTCTCTGCTGCAAGCGAGCCGGTGAAAATGCCGCCGGAGATAAAGAGAGTAGTTGCTAGGTACCCTGATCTATTTGAAGAGCCAACAGGGGTTGTTGAAAGGGAGGTCGTCCATGCGATAGAGATTATCCCAGGGTCTAGTATCCCGAAGGGTAGGATCTATCGGATGTCTCCAGGCGAGCTTGATGAGCTTCGCCGCCAACTCAAGGAACTCGTAGAGAAGGGTTGGATCCGGCCGAGTGTCTCTCCTTATGGGTCTCCAGTTTTATTCGTACCTAAGAAGAAGGAGGGTACTCTTAGGATGTGCATTGACTATAGGGGCCTCAATGCCATCACTGTAAAGAATAGAGAGCCCCTACCGCGCATCGACGATCTGTTAGATAGAGTGCAAGGGTGTCGGTACTTCAGTAAGATAGATCTGAAGTCCGGGTACCATCAGATTGCAATCCGGCCCGAGGATGGGCACAAAACCGCTTTCCAGACCAGGTACGGTCTGTACGAGTTTGTGGTGATGCCTTTTGGCCTTTGCAATGCTCCTGGCACCTTTCAGCACGCTATAAATCGGATATTCCATGACAACTTAGATAAGTTTGTCATCGTGTACCTCGATGACATACTTATTTTTAGTAAGACTGTCGAGGAGCACGTTGCACATTTGGACAAAGTCCTCAGTCTTCTGTGACAGCACAAGTTCAAGATCAACGGTGAGAAGTGCGAGTTTGGCCGCACCCGTGTCTTGTACTTGGGTCATGAGATTTCCGCAGAAGGGTTGAAGCCCGATGACGCGAAGGTGGCCAGCATTCGTGATTGGCCACGTCCTCAGTCTGTGACTGAGATGAGATCTTTCTTGGGAATGAACTATAGCATAGTGGCCACTCCTTTGACTGATCTGACCCGCCTTGAACCCATGGGAGTGGACAGATGAGTGCGAGGCTGCTTTCAGACATCTGAAGCATGCGTTGACGCACTACGAGGTCTTGAAACTTCCTGATCCTGACAAGCCGTTCATAGTCACCACGGATGTCAGCCAATATGGCATTGGCGCCGTGCTCGCGCAGCAGGAGGGGCCAAACTTGAGGCTTGTAGAGTACATGTCCAAGAAAATGCCGTCTCAAAAGTTGGCTAAGTCCACCTATGAGAAGGAACTCTATGCGGTTTACAAGGCTCTGACCCATTGGAGACACTATCTCCTTGGGAGGTTCTTCATCCTCAGGACTGATCATCAGACCCTGAGATGGATGAGAAGTCAGCCTGTACTCTCTGACGCCCTCAAGCGTTGGATTGAAGTCATTGAGCAATATGAATTTGACCCTCAGTATTTGAAAGGGGAGTAAAACAAGGTTGTTGATGCCTTGTCGCATAGACCTGATTTCTCAGGTGCGCTGATTACTGAGTTCGATCTAATGGACAGTGTTACTCAGTCTATGGTGGAAGCCTATCGCGAGGACCAGTTCATGTCTGAGATCATAAGCAGACTTGAGGCGAAGGATAAGAAGACTTCTGCCGAGTTTGAGTTGGTCAATGGCTTGCTGTTCCTTGAGAAGGACGGGAATAAACGATTGTGTGTCCCAAATAGTGAGTCTTTGCGTAGTTTGTTTTTAGGTGAGTGCCATGATGCCACCGGCCATTTTGGGTATAAGAAGACCGCAGCCAACTTGTTGCAGCGGTTGTGGTGGCCCACGATGATGAGAGATGCCCAGCTGTACGTGGAGTCTTGTCAAGTTTGTCAACGGGACAAGCCACGTACTCAGGCTCCTCTTGGGCTTCTGAAGCCCCTTCCGATTCCGGAACGGCCTGGTGAGAGTCTGTCCATGGATTTCATGGATACTCTGATCACCAGCAAGWGTGGGATGCGTCACATCTTCGTCATCATGGATAGATTTAGTAAGTATGCTAGGTTAGTGGCAATGTCGGAAACAACCAAAACGGAGTATGTGATCAGAATGTTTAAAGAGAACTGGGTCAGGGACTTTGGTATACCGAAGTCTATTATTAGTGACATGGATGTCCGGTTCACCAGCGAGTTGTGGAAGGCCGCTGCTGCAGAGCAGGGAACTCAGTTGCAGATGACTTCTGGGAATCACCCAGAGGCTAACGGTCAGGCTGAGCAACTGAGCCGCTCTGTACAACACCTGTTGAGGCATTACATCAAGCCCAACCAGGTGGACTGGGATGAGAAGCTTGCTCTCATCGCCAACCTGCACAACAACGCTGTACACAGCGCCACCGGGGTGAGCCCGAATAGCTTACTGCTAACATTCAAGCCTAGACTGCTCCTAGACTTTCTTCTTCCTGAGAATCAAACAACTGCTGCACCAGGTACCTTGGAATTTGCTTACAGCTATGAACAAAAGATGCAGCAGGCTGTAGAACAGATGCAGAAGGCGCAGGCTGCAATGATAGAGTCTGAAAATAGACACCGCCGGCCTTCTACATTTCAGGTTGGGGATAGGGTCTGGGTTAAGTCGTCAGAACTGGGACAGGAGCACGGGATCTCCCGCAAACTCATGCCCCGGTACTTTGGACCCTGGGAAGTCTTGGATATCGTTGGGACACATCCGGATGGGCCATCTTATGTTATCCGGATCCCTGGTCATCTCCGTACTTACCCTGTATTTCACGGCTCCAAGATGGCACCTTTCAAAGATACTGACCAATTTCCATCTCGTGGCTCAATGCTGCCCCCAACCATGGATGGAGAGGTGGACATCGATGATATTGTGGATCACAGAGAGCTGCCGGTATCAAGACCAGCAGGTAGGGGACGTCCTCCGAAACCGAAGCTGCAGTACCACGTTCGGTTCCAGCATCACACTGATCCAAAGGAGGACCGCTGGTTCACCAGGGAAGAGCTCATGCAGACCGCTCCTCAAGTTGTAACCCAATACGAGAAATCTCTGCAGAAGGGAAAGCGCCCTATGATCGAAGATTGAGCTTCTCAGAGGACTGTTGAAGCTAAGGAGGAGGGAATGCGAGGCCAGTGCCTCTATGAGCCCCATAAGGCCCCATTTTGTAGCCTGTCGGCCGCCCTAAGTGAAGGCAGGTTCGACGAGGCCCTCAGGGCCCTTTTCTGGCCACCACGCAACTCGGGGAAATTCAGGCAGTTGCGCAGCGCCAGTTGGTTGAGTGAACCCTGGCCCTGGGCCGCCTGTGTGAATGTATGTGAGGCAGGCCCTGGGCTGGATACGGGAACTGGGCCAAACACAGGCCGAAGGCAGTTGGGCACATGCAACCACTCCAGGCCCAAGGCCTGCTCTCGTCGTGCTGGGCCTCAGGCTACCGGGGCCTACTGGAAGCTTCCTGGGACTGGACGCAGGCAGGCCACTTCGATATAGGGAAGGGCCTGCCTCCTGATTCGGCATTCGGGTGCTGGCTGCATGTTGCGCAAGCGCTGCTGCGCTATTTGCTGGCTGGCGCCTACGCTCTCACGGGCGAGCAGGGAAGGAGCACGCAGCCATAGTCGAGCTGCGCTGCTGTAAGTTGGGTGAGACGCAGGGTGGTCCTTTGGTGCTAGTGGCATCTGTGAGTTGGGGAACGAGGTTGTGAGTGTAGCGCAAGACATACCTGGTGCTGGAAGCGTGCGACATTGGTCGCCATATGCTCGTACTTCGGGAATGTTGTTGACGTCATCTTTCGGCTTCGTAGTATACGCTAGATAGGATCTGCCACATGTAGTCTGGGCGCCGAGCGTCAGATAGGATATCAACTCTGGTTCTTCGTTGATGATGATGGGACTATTTCAGCATTGTCAATTATGAACTCTTGGTGTGTTCTTATTTGGTGAATCTCGTGATGCAATTCTGCAGTTGGTTCGAGGTCAAGACTATCTAGACTCATATGTACGATGCTGTTTGATTGCTGAAGTTCACTATTGCTCATCTTCCTTGCAATTCTTTCTTCTTCCATTTGCACTTTCTTCTTTATCTCTTCTTCCTTCTGTTTTTTTCTCTCTTCCTTTTCTTTCTCCTTTTCGGCCAGGCGGCGATCTACTTCAGCCTGCTCTACAGCCGATAGCCCACGCTTCACAACACCTGAGCTGGTTATCATACGGGAGGTACATACTCTCCGGAAGCCCAGGGGAAAGAAAACTCTGAACAAGGGGCCCATCAAAACAGAAAGGGCCAACAACCCTTGCATAGGGTAGTCGTCCATGATGGAACTCAGCACAGGTAACCCTCCGCTGGTCCCACCAGGTAAGACACCCACCAATTAACCTTAGTCTAATCTGTCGTGGATGGGATGATGATTTTACTCTTTTTTTTTCAGACTCTGGATGTCGTTGCTTCAACAATAACGAATTTCAAAACTTTCAAAACTTTAATATTCAATAAGACCTTTTTTTTTTAGTTGCTTCTGTCTTCAACTTCAGATATCAAATTGATCAGAATAGATACTACACTTGATCTTAGTTAGAAGTCTGCCTGGATTTATTCTAACTGGTTGTGACTTTTTTTTTTTTTTTTTTCACTAACCCTGTTTGTCTGTTCTCATGCGCAGGGAGAAACTGGAGTGTTCATTATGTCAGATGCCTGGGCAACACTTCGATCACAGATTATCTCTGCCCAGTTTTATTGTGCCTTATACCTTGTTTGCAAACTGACGTGGCAGACTGCCACAACCCCCCAGCGTACTCCTATCTTTACTACAGCGTAGATGTCAGACCAGAGGGAAGAAGATAGAATCGAACAAGGACTCTGACCACTCTTAACTCTGACGTGACCAGACCCTTCCATCCTAATCAACCAGGTTGTACACCAAGTGACTCGACCTGACAGCAGCAGCAACGACCACCAGAGATGAGAGGTAGAGATACAACACACACACACATGCAGCCAGGTAAGGGGATGAGGGATTCTTCTCTCTTTTGCAGCTATCGTTGATGAAGACTCCTTGTCGCTCTGCACTCCAAAGCTCCACGCGAGGTAAGTACTTCTCCTTAGCCCCTTCCTCTTCGGCCTACTTCTCTCCCCTATCCCAATCCACCTCTCTCCTACACCACCACCATAGCCAGCATCTTCAAGCCAGCATGTCTTCCTCGCCGGCCTTACTCATGCCAGCACATCAGCGAGCGCAACGAGTCATGCTCCGATACCAAATTCCAAGGAACCTGACTGTTCACACTTGCTGGAGTGTATCATTTCGCATGCACAAATGTCATCACACAGATTGAGTAGCTTCACACAGAGCCAAGTCGAGATGAGATGAGAACCAAATAGCGCAGCTTAGAATATCAACATCACATTATACAAGAGTATCTCGAGCTTAAGAGTTCAGCGCCCACAGAATACAAGTCTCTCCCTGCATGCACACTCCCTGTCTATGAGAATCTACTCTGAATGCAACTCACTGATATCCTACTACTAATCCTCCTACCACTACTAACACAAACTGGCGCAGCTATGGCTTCCCTGCAGCCAGCGCCCAGCTTCCCTTCCTTTCGGCGCAACTCTCTTTCAGCCAGCGCTCCTCCCTGCACTATGCCGCACAAGTGCCTCAGCACTTCCACGCATCAATGCCCATGGGAAATCTGCCTTGTGGGGAGGCTGCCTCGTTCTTTATAGTGCTGGCCTCCCCTTGCGAGGTCTGAATTCAGTCTGTCTTGGGTCCTTTCCCAGTCCCAGCCTCTGTGGAGTGTGTCCCAGACCCTTTTCCTCAGGGGTCACTGCTGCTGCGGCCTTCAGGCCTTAATTTCGGACTTTCAGTCTGTATCTTGACTCTCCGTTTGACTTGAATCCTGACTGGGACTTTATCTCTTTGACTCCTTTTGAACAGGCACACCTACTGCTCGAACAGACACACATACAGTACGAACAGACACATCTCCTGCATGAGCAGACAGATCCTGCACCCCCCCTGGATGAACAGATGTGACTCCCACATTTGAATACTGCAACTGTTCGTCCAGGGGCACAAACGTGACCTTTGACATGACTTTTGCTTTAGTTAGGATGTGACTTTGGACCCAGAGAACATGCCTTTTGATCTTCTTTTCATGAGTTGGGCTCTGGCCAAGTGACCCCACTATGCTGCATTCGTCATTCAGGGTCTGAATCGGGTAAAGGGCCAAAGGCCCTTTTATGATGGGCAAATTGAGACCATAGTCTCGGCAATATAGACAACTCTCCTCTTTTCTTGTTGCACACGAGTTATATCACAGAATCACAATGGATTCTGAGAGGAGAAGTGGTAGGGCGAGCTGACAGTCAATCCTCCTGCATAGGAGCAATCAATGCTGGTCAGGGTTCCTTCGGCCAGGCGGAAGGAAGCGTGAGAGTACTAACCACGTACTCCAATTCTCGACTTGCCGGTGGACAGGAACTGGACTGACGCTCCGCAGAATGGATATGGAGCCAGGACCATAAGGAACTGTTTAACAAAAAAATAATAAAAAATAAAATAAAATAAAAAATCAATCAATCAATCGATCTCCACTAATTTACGCGTCAGTTCAGTCCAGATTCACTTGCAACGCTCCGATACCAACTGATGCTTACTCGTAATAATCCGAGTGATGCAATGGAGCCACAGGATCAGCAAAGTGATGATAAGGACTTGAATGCACAATGCAGAATCAGCGAAGCATCAACAAGCAATGTACATCCAGATACACACAAAAATGGCAAAATGTAGTGCAGTGGAAGACTAAGAGATATGAGCTGACCTGTCGGACACTGACTTGACTCAGCTCATCAAGCACCACACCCATGATAGAGAAGGGAGGGGCCACATATATGGAAGAAAGGTCCCTCCTTGAGCATGCACATGTGGAGAAACCATGGATGAGGGCATGGAGGAAGACCGAGACGAAGATGGAGATGAGGGAGAAGACCAAGATCGCGATAGCAAAGTCCAAAAATAGTCTGCCTGTCGAATGTCCAATCAATGTTTGCCCCTGCGATGTCGAATCCGATCCTGGGCCCCATAGCCCGCCATAACCTCTGCCTGTAACCTCTCTCTCTCTCTCTCTCTCTCTCTCTCTCTCTCTCTCWCACWCACACACACACACACACACACACACACACACACACACACACACACACACACACATAGAGGAGGAGGAGGAGGAGAAGAAGAAGAAGAAGAAGAAGAAGAAGAAGAAGCAGAAGCAGCAGCAGCAGCAGCAGCAGAAGAAGAAGAAGAAGAAAGAATGGAGGACGGGAGCAGGAAGAAGAAGATCTCCTCTACCTCACCTGCAGGTAACTGCTGCCACGTACTGACGAGATGGCGTGCCTCTCTGTGCTGCAGGTCGCTGGCGAAAGAACCAGCTATGGCGCCCAGGTGAGCTGTCCTCACCTCACAGGTGTGGCCACAGCCCCTCCCTCACCTCTCCTAACTCCTGCACCTTTACCTCTACCTCTAACGCTAATGCAGCGCGGGATGTCACGCACTGCTCCAGCAGCGTGTCGCCCAAGGGGTGAGAACTCCTGTGTGTCCTAGACCTGAGGGCTGCCTCAGCTATATACTGCTTGGCCTATTGAATCTGCCCTTGGTCTTCAATCAGGACCGTCGGATCTATCATTCGATCGATGGCCCTGATTGCAGGACCAACTCCTGGTCTTGGACCTGGCCTAAAAACGGCCTGCCTGGGTCCCTACCGGACATCCAGGCAATCCTGCTGATGCAGCAGGACTCCCTCACTAAGGAAGGACACGAACCTCGTCTACCTAGGCCTAATGGTGGCCCAGAGGTCCGAACAGACAACGACAATAAATGCCGGCTCAAAAAAGTCTGAACAGAGGACACGAACCTGAAAAAAGTCTGAAACGGCGTCCTGGAACAGACAATGACAGAGCAGACAAAAGAGTCAGCAAAACATAAATAAATAAATAAATAAATAAATGCCGGCTCAAAAAGAACAGACCTTTGTGGCCCACAAGAAAGTGTGCGTGGCCTAAAAGGATGGCCGTGAGCCTCCAGGTCGTGCACGAAAATAGGTGGGCGGCCTGGGGGCTCTCCACAACCGTCGGGCCCCCAAAACAGAGTACGTGTGCAGGGCTCAGCATGCAACAGATGG